CTTGAGCTCGCTTTGTAGCCCAGGCTGATCTCGAACTTGCAACAATCCTCCTGCCTCAGCCTCCCAAGTGCTGGGATTATAGGCATGCACCACCATGTACAGCTTGCTGAGCAGTCTGAATCCAGTTGAAGAACAAATTCTGTAGGCCACCACTATTCCAGAACATGGTGCTCTGGGACTTCTCAAAGCAGTCTTTCAGTTTTGTAGTTCCCGAGGCTACAAAGGGTGGAGACTTGCTACTTCTTGTACTGCCCTCAGGCCATCTTTTCTATTGTCCTGTTTCTTCCCAGCAGTTAAGATCTCCTCTGCTCTGTCTTTGTAGTTCTCTGCTTTACTAGAGCTTCCTTTCTGGCCAAACTCCAAATGTGTAAAATCATTCTGCTGTGCTCCTTGCTCTTGATTTTCAACATAGATCTTGATAAAAGTCCCCAGCAATAGCCATGCCTCTGCCTCAACATTTGACTGCCTTAAAATTCTTCTGCCATATTAGTCTTCACCCTTTATCTTAGTCTCAATTAAAGTCTCTGGAAGTGAGCAAAGTGCAGACAAACTTTGCCAAGCTGTAACACATGTTCTGGAGTCCAGCAGGCAATGTAGTCCTTCCCAGCAGAAATACCGAGTCTGGTCTTTACTGGATTTCTGGGCCCGTGAGCTCTGACCAGAATCTCCCTTGCAGTACACCCTAAGGCATTCCAGTGCTACTTTTTTAGGCAGTATCTCCAAACCTTTCCAAACGCTTCCCACTAGCCATTCCCAAAGGCTCCTGAACCACATGGCCAGGTATAATCACAGCAACGATCCCACTTCTCTAGTACCAAATTCTGTCTTAGTTACTTTTCTCTTATTGCTGAGACAAGATACTCAATACCCAAAGTTAAAGGAGGAAAGTTAAAGGAGGTTATTTAGCTCACAGTTTGTGAAGGTTTCAGCCCTTAATTGTTGGCTGCAAGGATGGAACATGACAGAGTTCATGGCGAAGACAACAAAACAAGAGCAAAAAAAGGGGAGTGTATCATTCTTGTTGCCTGATTCTGTTTTATCTGTTCAGCAGTACTTATAGTTTCCTCTTTAATCCAGTACTGACATTTCTAAGAAAGGCTATCAGGTATGTTTAGCTCAGGTGCACCAAGGAACAGAGCAGACAGGCTCTGCAGCGTGCTCTCTTCCCCAGATTTAGCTATTCAGCTGTGGTGTACGAGGGTGGGCAGCAGGGCAGGAACCCTTACTATGCCTGAAGCTCCTGCCAGCTCAGATCCTTTTCTGCTGTTGACACTAGCAGAGGTGACACCTGTGAAGGCTGCCCCGCTTCTGCAGACATGCCCCTGCATGTGAATTGATTAGTGGCCCTTTTTGCCAGGAAGAAATCATGCTTTTGCAAAAGAGAAAAATAAATTGCTTCAGCAAAACCTAGAGTTATTGTACTAAATAACTTGTGAGAAAATTCTGTTTCTGTGTACAGATCTTTAGTTTTATAGTGAACAACAAATTTGCATCCTTGTCCTTTTAGAGCTCTTGTACACTAGATAATATTTTGCAAAAACTTGTTTCCTTTACTTCTCTCAGGGCGCAGCTTTTGTAGAATTTGATGTCCATCTTTCAAAAGACTTTGTGCCTGTGGTGTATCATGATCTTACCTGTTGTTTGACCATGAAAAAGGTATGTTGATATTCTCTTATTTTAAACTTCTTGTGAAGTGAAAGGTTAAAAATTACAATGCTTTTCCTATTTTTAGTTATTTTCACTTACTTAACAGTCAGTTAAGTTTTTGGTGAGTTATTGTCAGTCCTTTCCTTCCTCAGGCTCATGCAGAATTGAGGAAGTAAGATGGAAATGTAGACGTCCTGGAGAAGGGCCTCTGTGCTGCCTGTGTTCCTAACAAAGGGACGGACCAGGCAGTTTCTGGGTCACTGTTCCTGTCAGCTGTATTGAGGCAGGAGAAGAGACTATCAGTTTGCAAGGCGCCTGTCTATTTCTGCTTTGTTATTTCCCAAATTAATAAGCTACTATGATTTAGCTAACGCTGGAGGAGCCACAGTGAAAAATTAGAGAGGTAGTGCAGAGTCAGATAGAGGAGGGCTTCGTGAAAGAGGGTTAGATCTAAGAGGCAGAGGTACAACACTATATCCAAGAAGGGAACCACTCAGAGCTGTGCTTCAAGCCCAGTGCTTTGCTAACTGGTGGAATAGAGATTTCAGAGCTCACGGCTGGGAGGCAAGGGGAGTAGTACCGCGGGCCCCTGGGGCAGAGCCATCAGGGAGGGTGGAGGGAAGGGCGTCCTGGAGTGTAGGGTCAGAATAGAGTTTGGGAATGCATGAGTTTTTAAGAAATTGTCATGGTGTGCAGACATAATTGCCATTTAAGCCACTGAACTTCAGTATACAAATGAACCCAGTGGTTTCTCAGGGATTTGAAGTAGGTTTGTATAAGTCAGCCTTTCCTCCACTAGGACAAAATACCAGACACAACTTAAAGAGGAGAGGTTTAGTTTTGGTTCACAGTTTCAAAGCTTTCAATCCATGGCTGGCTGCCTCTGTGGAATGGTCTACAGAGCATCGTGGCCAAGGGGCATCAGGAGATAACTGCTCACCTCCTAATGGCCAGGGCAGAACACAAGAGGGGAGCATGGGCAGGAAATACGGCCTCCAAAGGCTCCCCCTGCTCCAGCAGGCCCCACCTCCCAGGGGTACCTGTGCTTTGCACATCAGCGGCTTAATCCACTGAGTATCGCACCCCTAACCCAGCCACGTCCCCGGTAATCTCATGATGCAGTCAAGCTGCAGTTCAGGTTAGCCAGTCAGGGGTCATTTGGTACTTCCTTTACAACTGTCTTGGTATCATTTTCAGGTGTGTTGATTTCAAGTTACGGCCAGTGTGCTAACAGGCATAGAACTACCAACCACTGTGTGTTGTGCAGAAGAGTGTAACAAGGCACTGGGCTCTCCACTAGTAGACTCTAGACAGTGTTAGGGGGCTGGGGGCCCTATCATATATGTGTGGAGAAGGAAGGAAGGGAAAAATGGATCTATTTAGGGGTGACAAACCTAGAATAATTAAAATAGAGTAGTTTGTTTTTGTTGTGGCTGAACGTTATTTTAAAAATCTGAGTTTAGGCTGGACATTTGTGTGTAATCCCTGCACTCGAGAGGCTGAGGCAAGGGGATTGCTGTGAGTTTGAGGCTAACCTGACCTGTGTAGCGAGACCCTGTCTGAAAAAATAATAACAAATAAATTACTGTTGCCCTGTTTTTACCAGTCTCTGTTGTTCTGAAGTTGAACTTGAATGAATTAATTGGGACACAGTGAATTATGAATGTAGTTTAGTATGTAGTAGGATTTTGTTTTGGGGGGTTGTTTGAGACAGGGTCTCACTATGTAATACAGGCTGGCCTTCAACTCATGGCAAATAAGTACAGTTCATGTCCATTATTTCAAAAATGCAAATAGTTCAAATGGTTATGAAATGCAAAACAAACCTTTTTCTTGATCTCACTCCCTTACTCTTATTAGTTTTTTGTGTATCCTTCCAGAAAAACTTTATGCATAAGCAGGTTTGTACCCATGTACGTGAACAAACACTATGCGTATATATATATATATATATATATATATATATATGCAATGGCTTTCAGCGCATTTGTTGGATTTGCTGGGATTATAGGCGTGTGCCGTCACGCCTCGCTGGCATTGGATTGATGATTTATTGGTGGTATCTTAACTCCTTTCCTTAAGATAGCAGTCCTTCCAACAGTGTAATATTTGATGAGGCATTACAGCCTAGTAGAGGAGATTTGCTTAAGGAGGAAAATGGCAGATTGGGCTTCTCATTAAATAGTAATACCTATAATGTTGGCCAACCCCCCCCCCCGCCCCCACAATTTCTTAGTATGGCTGCTTTTTTTTTTTTTTTTTTGAGACAGGGTCTCACTGTGTAGTTCAGGCTACCTTTGAACTCACTATGTAGCCCACGGTGACACACGTCTGTAATCCCAGTACTCAGGAGGATCATTGTGAGTTCGAGGCCAGCCTCGGCTCCATAGTGAGTTCAGAGGCCAGGTTGAACTGCATAGCAAGACCCTGCCTGTTTCAAAAAAATGTAATAAAGCTAATTCTATATAATACTTGCATGTTGGTTTCCTAGACATGTGGCATGGACATGTGTCAGAATGTATCCAGCATGACAGGAAGCAGGGGCAATGATGCCTGACATCTCGCTCTGTCCTCAGTTGTGTCTTCAGTACTACTACTTTTTCCCAGCTAGTGTTTTCTTCCAGTCACTCCTGACCTGCATTAAACACAAAAGCCAGCAACTGAGGGTGTAGCTCAGTGGTAGAGTGCTTGGCAAGCATGCATGAGGCCCTGGGTTTGATCTTTAGCCCTGCCAAAAAAAGCCTAATTGTAAGAGCTGGGAGTTAAGAAGGGCTTTTCTGCATGATCATTATAGCTATCTCATAGCTATGCTCATCAGTAAATTCTGATCATAGGCTGTATATTGTAAACATTCAGCAGTAATTAGAATGGGGCTTGTCCCTTCCCTTTTTTTTTTTTTTTTTAGAAATTTGATGCTGATCCCGTTGAATTATTTGAAATTCCAGTAAAGGAACTAACGTTTGACCAACTCCAATTGTTAAAGGTAATGATGGTAGTAAAAATATAAATTAACCATTAGACTTGGTGCTACTTGTACTTTTCCATAATATGCTAATATTTTGTCTGCACGCAGGAATGACTGTGTATTCAGTGTGTATAGAGGAAGCTCTTCTAATTCGAGAGAAATGGGTTTAGGCTGATGCTCTATTTTTGCATCCACAAAAAGCTACGCCATAAGTCTTTGTAGACCTTCATAGACCCTTCACATTCTCAGGCTGCTTCCAGCCTGTGGTAGCCCTTTACTCTTTTTACTATATTCTACAATAGGCTGTTCACGTGGTAGTGATTTTACACATATTATAAATTCCTAGGTTGCTTGTATATTTTGTTGTAGCATCTAATTTTACAGGATCCCCTTATTCTGTTAGATACCTAAATAAATGGCTAATACAAATATTTTCCTAACTTGCAAATTTTATATCCCTTCCCTCCTTTCATGACGAACTTAGGGCACATGTAAAATATATACTGTAGTTAGTGCGCTTGTTCTTACTAAGCTGATCATGCTACATTTTAGAATCTTTCCTAATTTATCAGGTTTTCAGGTTACCATTTTATTAACCGTCTCTTCATAGATGATGGCTTTATTTCTGGTTGCATTTTTTCTGTTTTGCAGCTTTCTCATGTGACTGCACTAAAATCTAAAGATCGGAAAGGTATGTACTAGTATGAAAACACTGCTTTTATTTTATAATTAGCACTTTAGGATATTCCTTTAACCAGTCTAACGTTCCAATTCCAGGTTATTTTAGTGACTGTAATCCTGGGCCATTTTACTATAATTTCATATATGTGAGGTACTTCTATATTAATTTTCAACTGAATGTCATGTGTATAGTAACCATTTTATTGTTTTCCCTTAGTTTGATGATGAAAGTTATTCAAAGTTTTGTATTTATCAGGCTTTCTAAAGCTACAGCTATTGCAAAGTAGAGTAGTATAGAATCTGAATCTAGAGCCAGGAGTCTGAAACAGCATTATCATTCACCACCTGTGACCTTGGACAGACTATATCACTGGACCACTCTGTGCCTCCATTTCCTCAGAGCTTGTGACTCACTTTGCCTTCTGGTCCTGTAGAATGTAATAGCCCGTGCCATTCATTTGTTTATTGTATCCTTTTTGAAAACCTTTATTTTGTTTATACCTGCTCCCTTTAACTAGCGTAGAAGCCTGTCAAGGCTGGGAAAATGGCTTTCTATTCTCAGGGATGTACTTTTACAGTGCGATACATGTGGTAGGTTTTCATAGTTTATCTGCAATTGTGGTCATGTACAGTGTGAATACATTTGTGAAGAAATTGTGAAATGCTTAAGACTGTAAAGAGTACCTGCAGAGCTTAAATGTGATTGTACAAATTTATAGATTTTTATAATTATTAGCAGCCAAATGAGCTTTAAGTTATTTAACTACAATTTTTCATGATTTTAGTCTGTGAGTATAAAATACACGTTGGTAGGGCTTGTAGGGATATTTGTTTTTTAGAAAAGAAAAGCTTGTTTTAATTTTTTTATTTTTGGAAAAAAATACTGACATAAGATCTCTTTTTTTTTTTAAAGAAAATGAAAAAATAATCTGTTTTAGACTGAATGACAAAAGCCACAATAGTCTTTTAATCTCTTAATTTCTGAGCTGATTTTTACATTTCAAATAGAAGTCTTAGCAAAAGGATACTATCCAGTTCCTTCAGGAATAATAAATCACTTCTCATGACAACTTGTAAAAGTATAGTGGTTCAGTTTCTGTAAGAAAATAATTTTTGGGACCCAGATTGACATTTACACTGAAGTGTGGCAGAGTAATCTTCATGATGGGTACTTAGTTAACAGATGCAGTTTTTAATGCTCAACATGAATAAATGAATGCAAGAGCTTTCAAAAATCCTGCATTTCCAAACAGGACCTCATAAATTACTTTAATGCGCTCTCTATTTTTTAGGGTTTAGGAAAAGATGTCAGTGATACAGTGACATTTTATTTATTATTTGTCATTTAAAATTTCAGAATCTGTAGTTGAGGGAGAAAATTCCCTTTCTGAAAACCAGCCATTTCCTTCTCTTAAAATGGTAAGTTGATTCACTAAAACTAGGGCAAGGGTATTTTATTAATTGTGTTATTGCCTAAATAATTGATTTTGGTCATTAAAAAGACTGTGTCAAAGACACATTAACTTAATTTATTACCTTGAGTGCCCTTAGGCAAAAAACCTGTTTTCTTTTTTGTGCTAGGGATTGCATCCTTTGTATCCCATACACTAGACAAGTACTGTACCACTGGGCTACATCCCCAGCCCTTTTATTTAGAGAGAGGGTCTGGCTAAGTTACCCAGGCTGGCCTCCAACTTAAGACTCTCCTTTCTAAGCCTCCCTGAGTAGCTGGGATTACAGGTGTGCGCCACCGTACTCAGCTAAAAAGATATATTTTTGTGTGTTGTAGTTGTGCTGCCTATTTGTTCATTGGGTTATATTTATTTTAAGACAGGGTCTAACTGTGTAGCTTAGGCTTGCCTTGAACTCACTATGCTCCCCAGGGTGGCCTTGACTTGCACTGATCCTCGTGTCTCAGCCTTCCAAGTACTGGGATTTCAGACATTGCACCACCATGACCTGGCTCATCCCCAGCCCCTTTTTTATGTTTATTTTTTTATTTTGAGACAAGGTCTCACTAAATTGCCTAGGCTGTGCCTGAATTTGTGATCCTTCTGTCTCAGCTTCTGGGAGTGCTGAGACTACGGGCACACACTAATATGTCCTGCTTGACTTTCTTATGGGTATCAAAAATCATGGTGAACATTTAGATAATAAAAAAACTTTATTATACAGTAAAAGACATATTTCCTCTTACAATACTCCCTGTCATTTTGAACACAACTTATCCCATTATTCTTGCTACCATCTGAGGTAATTCTGAACATCTTGTTACATGAGTCTCTTTGTGACTTCCTCTATGGCCTGGAAGGGTTCAAATGCCATTTGTTTTATGGCCTTTTCTATCAAGCGAGGAACATACAAATGTGTCCTTAACTACTCTGTTTACTATGTCTGACACCATGTGTCTTCTGGCTCTTGCCCAAAGTAAAAATGTTCATAAAAGGTAAATGTTTTCAATCTATTCAAGACATTGAGGCAGTTACAACTCCATAACTAAAGACACAACAGAATATTCACCATATTTTTCTTTTTTTGTTTGTTTTTTGGGACAGGGTCTTGCTATACAGTTTAGGCTGACCTTGAACTCACTGTGTAGCCCAGGCTGGCCTCGAAGTAGCCCAGGCTGGCCTTGAACTCACTGCAGTCCTCCTGCCTCAGCCTCCTGAGTGCTGGGATTTACAGGCATGCACCGCCATGCCTGGCTTACCATACTTTTCAGTCATACCTTCTGTTTAAAGTAATAAAGTCAGCCAGGTTATCAACGAGGTTAGCAGTTCAAATATGAGAGAAGATAGTGGTTTTTACTGAGGACACAAAACGTTTTATCCTTATTTAGTGATATTCTTATTGATTGCTTTTTAAAATTATTTTTCTTTTCTTTTAAAGAGTAAAAGAAGGATAACATAGTAATAGGGGGGCTTACCAAATTACAGACAAAGTGGTAGGAAATTGTCAATGGTTGTTTTACATAAATTGTTATCTACAAGATAATTTCTCAGGAAATCATAGATAAATAATAATGAGTTACAGACAAAAGAGGAAGGAGATTATCAGTAGTTGTTGTACTATACTTTGGTATCTTCACAGTGGCTTCTAAATTGATTGCTTTTTGTAATAATTGTGGTTTTTTTCCTTATTCTATCATCCGTCTTACCAAAAACAAAAAAACTCACCACAAACAAACAAAACTCTAGGTTTTAGAGTCTTTGCCAGAAGATGTGGGGTTTAATATAGAAATAAAGTGGATCTGCCAACAAAGGGTAAGTAATTCTCTATACAGTACATTTTTGTCCCTGCCCCCATTTCTAAAAAGTTCTTTTCTTTCTTTTTTTGTCTTTTTGAGACATGGTCTCGCTAGGCAATTAAGGCTGGCCTTGAGCTCACTTTGTAGCCCAGGCTGGTCTCAAACTCACGGCGATCCTCCTCCCTCAGCCTCCAGAGTGCTGGGATTAGAATGCTGGGATTATAGGTGTGCGCCACCACACCCAGCCTAAAAAGTTCTTTCAGTTCTTTTTATTTTAATGGAATTAAGTGAAACTTAAACATCTTGTAGCTGCTTCCATCAAAAAGTGATATACCAGTTGGAGAAATTTCAATCTATGTATGTCTTGTATGCTCATTTATATGAGTGGTTTCTAGGCATACCTATGGACAATCAAAAACTCTGACTTAGTTTTTTTTTTAATCTTCAAATTCTCCATGCAGGCATATGTTTTAGATAATTTCCTAAGCAAATTTCTGAACAGCTGGCAATAGTTCCCCAGAAAAGGGAATTTCTTGCAGACAGATTTTAAGTCATTCCTACATTTATTCATTCCTTTATTTAACAAGTATGTATTGAAAAACTGCTATGGGCCAGCCATTTTCTGACTGGGGGCAAGTAGTGAACAAAATAGACAAGGCTTTGTTATCGTGGAGTTGACTATTGTCTATATTAGAGAGGGGGATATGTGTAAATGGATAAAATACTTGGTCAGAGGACTGGCCTGGGGCAGGGTGTTAAGTGTTAATTCAGGTATCATAATTGGGCACTGGGACTAATACCCTGGCATTGGCTGTGGTTAGAATAATCTCTTCACTGCCTTCAGATTAGGCTGTTTGCAGCAGGTTACACTGGTCCTATTCAACCTGGATTTTCCTAGTACGTGGTTTTACTTTTCTGAGCTTATTCTTAAGACTAAATTTTTTTTTTTTTTTTTGGTCTGTTTTGTCTTTTTGAGACAGAGTCTTGCTCTGCAGTTCAGGCTGGCCTTGAGCTCACTTTGTAGCCCAGGCTGGTCTCAAACTTGGAACGATCCTCCTGCCTCAATCTCCTGCATGCTGGGATTACAGGCGTATGCCACTACACCTGGCAAGACTAAATTATTTTAAAGAGTAATATTTTAAATATTTAAATTTGAATGTCAGTAGGGTTCTTTGTATCTTGCCTGTATTTGTTGAATTATTTTAACTTTTTTGAAGGTACTTGACATCTAAAACCCAAAGAATGAGATTTTGCAGTATATCTTAAGAGTAATTTTTATAATTCATAAGGTTACTTTAGGGTTTTTGATAAATGGTTATTCATAGTAGGATCTCATTTAACAGATGAACTATCTTTTTACTTTTCATTTTATTTTTTTAAATGTCGTATGGTTTATAAGATTATAAGTCATAATAGACTGCAAATTGCCACATTATTTTGTTTTGCTTTGTTTTTTGTTGTTTTTGTCTTTGACACAGTCTCACTGTGTATTCCAGGCAGTACTTAAACTCTTGTTGGTCCTCTTGCCTTAGTCCACATCATCTTTTATTTTGCTAACATTAAAGCTTTAACTGTTGGTAATACAGTTTATTCCTTTTTCTTTTCTTTTTTTTTTTTTTGAGATAATGTCTCACTGTGTAGTGGCCTCGAACTCACTGTGACTTTCTTTTCGTAGTCTCCCAAGTGCTAAGATTACAAGGGTGCATCACCCAGCAGTTACCTTTTTTTTTTTAAGGAGACATGAGAAGGTTTTTTAGACAAAGGATACACTCGGGCATAGTGTGGGTGCTCAAATATGGTTCCCAGTAGTTCCTTTTTATATGAATATGTGTACCTGATAGTAGTTGCTGTGCGATCAGTAAATAACCGTGAAGTTTTAGGCAAGTCAATGTTTTCAGGTCTTTGGCTTCCTTTTCTGTGAATTAGGTGGGAGTTGGTCAAAATCACTCTGAGATCCTATTCCATACCTATTAGAATGGGCATAGTCAAAAAGTCAGAGCTAACCATGTTGGTGAAGATGTGAATAATGGGAAACTTGTGTGTGCTGTTGATAGGAATGTAGATTGGCCCAGCTATTAGGAGACACTGAAGGTTTCTAAACAAGTTAAAAACAGAATTAGTACATTACCCGTCAGTCCCTCTTCTGTGTATGTAACCAAAGAAATGAAATCTCTATCTTGTGAAAGAAACTTGTGTTCCCATCTTCACCCCAGCTGTGTTATAATAGCCAGTCTATAAACAACCTGAAGCTGGGGATAAAGCTCAGTGGCACAAGCACCTCCCTGGCAAGTGCAAGGTCTTGAGTTGGATTCCTGGTACCAAAAAAAAAAAAAAGAACTTAAATATAAACAACCTGCATTGTCCACTAGGGGACAAAGAAAGTAGGGTCCCTGTGTGTGGTGGAAATGCACTCAGTGCCGGAACTGAGCAAGGTCTCGCCATTTGCCGCACACACACAAGCCTGCAAGAGGTTATGTGCTAAGTGAGATAGGCCAGCAACAAAGAGAAAAATTTTGCATGATCTGTATGTGGGGTCTGTAAAACCTTTCAATTAAAAATATACAGAAATAGTGAGAAAAAACCAATGGTTACTAGGTCAGGGAGGGGAGGAGGACAAGGGGAAATACAGGTTGAAGGGTACAAAGTAGCAGATTTGTAGGATGAACAAATCTAGAGATGTCACATGCAAGAGGACCCTGAGTAAAAAACTGCTGCGTATGAGATGCATGCAGACTGGATAGATTTTAGCTGCTCTTGTTATAAAAAAGTTGTTCAGGGCAACTATGTGAGATGGCAAGTAGTTAATTTGCTTTAGTTTAGTAGATTTCTCACTATGTAATATATAACATCCTATTGCATACCTGAAAAAACATAATGAAATATATTTAAATTTTGTTTAAATGTGAGTTAGACTAGGTGCTTTCAAGAATCTTTGGTTTTATTTTTGCTTTCAGTGCTATGATTCTATAGAGTGTGTAATGGCTTTCATTTTCCTTTTTTTCTACACAGGATGGAATGTGGGATGGTAACTTATCATCATATTTTGACATGAATCTGTTTTTGGATATAATTCTAAAAAATGTTTTAGAAAACTCTGGGAAGAGGAGAATTGTATTTTCTTCATTTGATGCAGATATTTGTACAATGTGAGTAATACCGAGTTTTTCTTTTGTATGTGTAGCATGTAGCTCACGGTATAATCATGGCTGCTGGTTGTCCAGATTTCCCCCTTACTTGTTATGTTTTCTAAAATTTCAAAACAATATTATAATTAGGGTCCATGAAAAATACTTTTTAAATTGTCCTTTTTAGGGTTCGACAAAAGCAGAACAAATATCCCATATTATTTTTGACTCAAGGAAAATCTGATATTTACCCTGAACTTATGGACCTCAGATGTCGGACCACCCCCATTGCAATGAGCTTTGCACAGTTTGAAAATCTTCTGGTAAGTTATGTTTGAGGTTTTAGCTTTTAATTTTCTATGTTTCTGCCTTTTATGGCAATAGTAAATACAGTTTCCTATTACTTTACACACTTTAACTATTAAGGTCTAACTAATATGTAACAAGCAGGTAGCTTTATTTACTTGGATGTGAGTGTGCCCACACATTCAACATTTGTGTTTATAAATCATACCCAGGCATGATGGTGCATGCTGGTAGTCCCAGTACTCGGAAGGCTGAGGCAGAAACATTGCTGGGAGTTCAAGGTCAGCCTGAACTACATAGTGAAACCCTGTCTCAAAAACCTAAATAAATAAATAGCATACATGTATTAGTAATACACTGTATATATGAAATATCCATTACAAACAATAGGGTAATTCTAAGAAAAAATTCTCATCTTCTCTCTCCCTGTCTGCTCTACTCTAGAGAGCCCCTAACCTCGATAGATTATGAATTTTTAGCATTTGCAGCAATTGCATGACTTACTTGTAAATACAGTTTTTCTTCTTTCAGGGGATAAATGCACATACTGAAGACTTGCTCAGAAACCCATCCTATATTCAGGAGGCAAAAGCTAAGGGCCTCGTCATATTCTGCTGGGGTGATGACACCAATGATCCTGAAAACAGAAGGAAACTGAAAGAATTTGGAGTGAATGGTCTAATTTATGATAGGTACTTGTTTTGCATAAAAAAATCTTCGTGGAATGTTAGAAAAAGTATAGCTTTCTTCCTTTAAGATACAAATAAAATTAAACTTAGTTAAAATTCTGTACTTCAGCCTGAGGTTTATCTTGACATTTGTCAGTTTTTTAAACTGTGAAGTATACCAGAATCACTTTGAGTTGAAGTGCCCAGGCCGTGACATAGGTGCATGAGTTGTCTTGCGGGTGAGAGAGTGTCCGTCTTCCCTAGACTGCTTTCCTACGTACCAGCTTTCTCAGTGGCCTCGTGTAGGGCTGTGACTTGCAATCTTCCTGACATTGCTTATCTCTCACTCAGACCATTCTCCTGACCTCAGACTCCAGTGGATCCAGTTTCTCAGACCAGATCCTCAGAGTCTTCTGTGTCATCTCGTACCCCAGATCCAGTCAGATGGGAAATCTTGTTGACTCCGACTCCCAAGATACTGCGGTAGACACTGCAGCCTGGCCACCCCCTTGCCCTCTCCACATCGTCTGTTCTCACACTGCAACTAGAGGGAATCTTTTTAACCTCAGTAGAGCATGTTCTCACCCAAATAGACATGGTCTCCGGTCACCTTAAGGAAAAACCAAAGTCATGACAGGAGGGCCCCTTGCACAAACTGGTTCCTTCCTCCACGCCACCCACCAGACCTCCTTCCCTCACTGCCCTTGTTTCCTACAGCTTTCTCCCATCTTCAGAGAAAGATTCCTGTGAGGACTGACTTGTCACCTAGTGAGTCTCCCTGAATAAACCTCTAACCCCGATGTGCTTCTTGCCTTTTTTCTGCATGTCATTTATCACCGTCTGATGCAAACACACACATACCCAGTGTCTTGTCTGCTTTTCTTCCGGTCATCTTTCAGCCGACTCTTTTCCCTTCCTTAAGTGGATAGACATCATCAGCTCCATAAGGGAGAGGCCTCTTCCCATTTTGCTCATTCCCTCCAGAGGCCAGAACAATCAGTATGTGATGCATAGGAGGAGTTCTTTTTTATTTTTAACTGGGATTCGGACTCAGGGCTTCCCACTTGCCAGGCAGCCACTGTGCCACCGAGCTGTATCTCCCAGGAATTCTTAATTTACATCGTGCTCTCTTGATTTTTCATTATGTTAAGTCTGAGGGGCAGAAAGGTTGCTTGGGTGTAAAGAAATTTGGGGTTAGAATGTTATCACAGAAAAGTGATAAAATCTTCACCAGACCTGCTCATAAAAATACTTTCCTTCCATTTAGTTCATATTACTCTGTCCTGAAAACCTTTACCACTTTATTGTTTCTTTTTGTTTATCACTTTTATAAGGCCTTTTTAATGTGTTTTTCTCCACAGCTTTGTCTGAACAAATCTGATTTTTAAATCATTATTCAGGTATTCCCTGCCTGAGTTTAGTTATTTTTAAATGAAATAGCGTGAACTGTGGCCCTTTTTAATAGACATTTTCAACTAGTTAAATGAAAATTAAACCTCCAATTTAACAAATAAAAGGAAATGCTGGCTTTAGCAAATCTTTGAAGATTTGGTGTGTGTGTGTGTACAGAAGAAAGAGTGATGCAGCTGTTTGTAGGCTAGAGAAGTGTCCTCTGAGATGATGCCATATGCAGCTTTGAGGGCCTATAAATTTTAGGCAGATCCTTCATCTCAAGGACATTCACTGGTTGGAGCCAGTGAAAATGAGAGTAGGAAGATACTGTGTGATAGCATAGGGGCTAAAGAAAGTTCTTGTCTTCATGTATTTAAAGGGGAGGAACTGAATTGGAATTTTGAGAGTTGCATTTTAGGTGGGGACAAGCATGAATTGGGCAGGATCCTGAAGCAATGGAGTCTTCATGAGAGCCTGGCACTGGGCTCTTCTGGGCGCTGCTGAGAAGTAGGGTGCACTGTGTTAGAGGGGACTTCACTGGTAGGAACTTTGTGGGATTTATTTTTCTTTTTAAAATATAATCAAAGAACAGCATGTATATAATTTTACAATTCAAATAGTTCTCTAAGGTTTAGAGTAAAAAATAGTGTCTTGTACCTATGCTTTCTATTCTAATGGAGTTCCTCAGAGTTTTTTTTTTTAGCTGTTTTCTTCTGATATTTTACTTCTGTATTTCAAAATGATGATACTTGGTAGAAGGTTTTGGATGATTAGTGATTTGGAGCCTTTGAGGCACTTCTTTGGGAGATGTAGTGAAAGTGGATTATTTCAGATTATCAAAATGATTCTACAAAGGCACCAAAACACAGCAGCTTTCACATTTAATCACATTTATGGTAGATTATCTCATGTAAACCTTATTTGATTTTCTAATTTTTTGGAAAAGTTTTGCTTTTATGATCATGAGTAGGCTGGACTGGGTGGTTGTCTAATTTTGGTATCAGAGATAGGGCTGAACTCAGTTAATTTATCCTTTTTCCTTTTTAGTTTTTGGGGTACCAGGAATTGAACTCAGGACCTTGCACTTGCCAGGCAGGTGCTTATGCCACTGAGCTATATCCCTGGCCCCCTTTTTTCTTTTCAACTAAAAATTATTTGTGTTTGCCAAAATGATGTTTTAAAAGAATTCATCATGTGTCTGCATTTAGACATTATCAATAGTTTTGAAGTCCCTGTGTGCCTCTACAAGATTCTGTTACCTCATCTCTCTGACATTACCACCCTTACCACTTATCAAATTATTCTCTTTAAAACCTTTTAATCTTATTTCTGTCCCTAAACCATGTGATTTAGTTTTGTTTAGTTTTAACTTTATACTTTTTCCATGTCATTAAAATTAATCCACATTTTTACATACTAGTTACATAGTAGTAATTTTCATGGATGTATGATAGTCCATTGTTTATTCTGCCATTTAAGAACATTTAGGGTGTTGCCCTGCTTGGCTGTTATGCCCATTGTTCCATACATTGTTTCCAGAGCAATCCCATTTCACATTGCTATACAGTGCACACATAGATATGTATGTGTACAAGTGTGTACCTAAACAGAATTTTAAAAATAGTTCTCCTTGAATATTTTCTGTTCAAGGTTATTCACTTGTTAAATGTGAATCTTAACCTTCTAAGCTAATGTTATGACCCGCCAGGTCTCTAACTCTGCACATTCAGGTTCCAGCCAGTGGTTCAGTCATTAGATGCATAACAGGGCTGTTGGTGGCTGTCTGGCGTAGGCTGTCCTGTGTTTCCTGGGTCAGTGCAGCTCACCCCAGTTCTCAGCAGTGATCCTGTTAGGCGTGTGGGAGTTGCATCAGTACATGGTTCAGACACCAGGTATAAGGAAGACTGGTGCAGGCTCACCGGGGCACGTTGTGTGATGGTCACAGGGTGTCAGTGTCCTCTTAGGAAGACAGTCCTGACTCACCTCCTTTTCACCAGGATGGCTCTGGTACAGATGGCTCTGCCTCTGTGGCCTGGGCCCGGCCTAGAGACCCTGCTTGCTAGCATTCCTGAATGCCACCTCCTGCTTCCTGTTGCCCAGATCTTTTTTGATCTTTTTTATTATTACTGATACTGAACACGTACTTTTGCATTTCCTGACCAGGGAAAACATGGAAAGTAAATGGCTTTTAGCACATAGATATCTGGACATGTTAAGGCTGGACACAGATTCTGTTTTTGGTTTTTTGGGTTTTTTTTTTGCGGTACCGGGGATTGAACTCATGACCTTGTGCTTGCCAGGCAGGCACTTAATGCCACTGAGCTATATCCCCAGCCCCTGGACACAGATTCTGTATTAGAAACCATTCTCCATTAGTGTTTTATAGGCATTTCTCCATCTTTAAGATAAAAAAAAGAAAGCCAGGTGTGGTGGCACACGCCTGTAATCCCAGTACTCAGGAGGCTGAGGCGGGAGGATGGTTGTGAATTCGAGGCCAGCCTGGGCTCCAAAGTGAGCTCAAGGCCAGCCTGAACTGCATAGTGAGACCCTGTCTCAAAAAGACAAAAAAGAAAAAAGCTCTGTAATTTGTATGATTCAGACATTTTGTGAAGGAATTCTTATGAAAAGGTTAAGTCAGGCAGATCTAAAGTATGCCATAGAATTGTTTTATGTATTTTGTGTTTGTTTTATCATAGGATATATGATTGGATGCCTGAACAGCCAAATATATTCCAAGTGGAGCAGTTGGAGCGCCTGAAGCAAGAATTACCAGAGCTGAAGAGCTGCTTGTGTCCCACTGTTAGCCACTTTGCCCCCTCGTCCCTCTGCGGGGATCCTGACAACCATGTGGATGCCAATGGCATCGATAACGTGGAGAGTGCTTAGACTGTTCAGGGCACACACTGCTGTTCTGGGTGTTCACTTTTCATCATTGAGCATTGTTTGTCTCTGCCTTTTGGGTTTCTCAGTCCAATGAAGCAATAATGAAGTATTTTACTCTTCACTACAGTTCTTGGAAGAATTTCAAGTATGCTATTTAAATCACTTGGCCAGGTATAATTGCCAGTCAGTGTCTGTACAATGAGAAAACCTGTTGGTTGGTAAATATCTTTAAATATATAAGCCTGTAATGTTAAACCTACATTAAAAGCATAGAACTTTGAAATTAACTATATAAATATCATATTTACACTTAGCTTTCATTTGATCAGGTCTCAAATCTTCTAGCCTTTGCGGAAAATGACTATGCATACTTATACCTGACCATGGAGAAGATAAGTACCTCAAACGCATGCATTTGCACTGGTGATTCCAACTGCACAACCCTTTGTGCCATCTGTGTATATAGGTTTTGGGTTTTTTTTTCTTTTACATGAATTGACATGCACACAAACTGTTTTCATTCAGTCTGAGCCTGGAGGCTGCTGCCATTTTTTCACTTAACCAAACCAGCCTGGAGGTGCATCTTGGAACTTGTTTCATAAATCTTTCAAGAGTTGTTTTGCATAAATGTTAAAATTTCAAAATGCTGCAGGGTAATTTAATGTACAAACTATTAGCAAGAAGTATGTATTGCATTATTAGAGTAGATCACAATATGTAAATCCAGTTCAATGCATGCGTTAGGTTTTAAGCATGAGATTGTACACCTTACTGTGTAGTCCTTGTATCTGGTGCTAGGTGAGCGTAAGATGATGGCAAGGACTAACAGTATTTTGTTGCCTAAAAAAAAAACTGTTTATAGGCATTTAAAATATGCTTACTTAGTGTCTCTCGCTACGTATTATACATCATTGCTTTGTGGTGTGTTTTGTGTGTGTGTGTGTTGTACAGTAGTTAAATCTCCATGCAAAAAAATAAATGTTCTGAATTCTCATGTTGGTATTCTTTATTGGTTAATATATATCATGTGTGTAATTTATTTAGGAATGTAGAAGATCTTACTAAATGTATATGCATGGTTTTAGGATTATGCTAAGGTTTCATTAGAAGCAGATTTTATTGATATAACTAATTTAAGAATGAATGTTAAAAAAATTGATATATTTTCTTCATGATAAAATAGAATTTCAAGACGGTGTTACTTTTGTAGAATGGTTTTATAATGTTGTTATGAGAAATTGAACTTTAGTGTTGACCCGAAGGGGACTACCTTACTTGCGTCTACCTTTTCCTGTGTATTCTTCCTGCGGCAGTTTGTTCATGTATTGTCATACTTTGGTAGCAGCTAAGACTCCAAGACTTGAAATTACATGTTGTATCTTTCATTTTTAAGCTAAGCAATGCAATTTGGGTCAGATCTTAATTGTGCGAAGATAGGGTCTGAAATCTTATGGTGTTTGTAACACTGATGTTTAGGGAAAAATAGTCAAAGAAATGGGGTCTTCTATAAGTTTTCTATACTTTTCCCACATTGGATGAGATTTTTAACATTTTGATGCAAATTGGGCACTTTTAGGAAACTGAAAAAGACTGTTCTTAGTCTGCAGACACAGCACATTCCCTGTGGTAACCTGATCAACTATGTCTGTGCATTTCCAGTTCTGTTTCTGCCTGGTCCCCGCTTCCACTCCCAGCTCCATTATGAGAACTCACAGGCAGAGGGAAGCAGGTCCTAAGGGAAAGGGGACAGACAGTGAGGAAGGGAGGCGGTGGGTGGGTGAGCTTCCTAAGTCTGCTGAGCAGGGCCTCCAGTAACTGCTTTGGTGGCTGCCAGCCCCTGGGTGCCTGCTTGCTTTCCTGTCCCTCCCTCACTTAACACCAGTGTAGTGGAGGATTCAAGCCATTTAAGTGAGGGTAAGTCTGGGTGTGTGTCATTAGCTCCCCCTTGACACTCACACTGCCTTCTGTGCCTGCTGCCTGGAAGCCTTGGCCGCCCCACTCACTGTCCCTGGGAGCCGCCCTGTGTCCTCCAGCCTTTGCCAAAACTCCCTCAGATGGGCGGCTCCATGTTTCTACCCATGACAGCCTGACACGTGCGGGGCACACCGTGCCTCTCAGTACCGCTCAGCTGTGTGGGGTCTGTCACCTACCAGGCTGCGGCTCTTCATGCCAGAGACCTCAGCTGACTCACTTTGACTCATTTCCACTGTTTGGAGCAGAGTAGAAAAGGAACGCTGGAATCACTGGGATAATAGAGTTGGTAGCAAATGTCCTCCAGAATTAAGTGACTTTGTTACATGAACTCTGAATTTTTACTTGGAGCTGATCTACGGTTTGAGGAGTGGGATGGTTTGTTGGTGTCCATTTTGAATTGTACAGCTGTGATTTTAAATTTGTACTGTCTAGAAAGAGTGAAACATTGGGTAAAATACCACTGTTGGTCTGGAATTGTGTACTGTGGCTGCTGGATGTGGGCGTGAGGCCCACCTCTCACCCCTGTGTGGGTGCTGTCCGAGGGCCACCGTGGCTGGCTTCCTGCCATCTGCTTACCTCGCTCCAGTGTTCATGTAACACCCGTCTCCTCTCCCCTCCAACGCCCACGCATCCGCCTACCTCAGTGCTGCTTTTCTTGTCTGAAAAGCCTCTGCCTTCTGTCCGTGTCCTGCTCGCTCGGTGCCACCTCCTTGGTAAAACTTGCCTCTGCTTCTGATCTAATCGTGATAACCATTGCAGATGGTCTCTAAATCACCACTTCTCCAGCTGGGGCAATAAATTCAGAGCGGTCATCCCGCTTACGAGGTCGGAACATGACCCTAGTCCATCTCACTATGCTGCCTTTGCAGTCTTGTGGCACTTGTTGGCATGAGCTTTCTTATGGCCCCTCCTTCTCTGTAACAGGTTATTTCTCTACGAAGATTGTGAGCCCCGTCAGGGCAGGCGCTGCTTTGCATTCTAACACTGCTCTAGTGCTCTGTCCTTAACTGTGGACTAGATAAATAAACAGTGGTGGTAACAACCCTGGTTTCCTAACATTGTTTCTCAGTGTTTTGTGCGGTGTGCTTGACTGTGTTGTGTAGAGTTGTGTGCACATGTGTGTGTGCCTGGTGTGTTCACATCTGCAGTTCGCTCCTTGGAGTCATATTTGATGAGTCCCTGTAGCCAGTTTTCTGTTGCATGCTGAATGAGGAAAATTACAGTAGTGGCTTAAGCCATCACTCACTGACAAGGTGAAGATAAATAAGGTCCAGCTTTCCCCCAGGGTTGGTTGCCCCTTCCTGGGGCAGTGCAGTATCCGTGAGTCCTGCAGCTCGTGGGTTAGTGGTAATGAAGGAATCACCTTGGGGAGCACTGCTGTGACCTGTGGCACAAACCATCTCATTAGTCCTCAGGGACAACCTTTGCCCTGTTCACCTCTGCTCTTTCTGTTCACAGCTCTGCTGGATTGTGTTTCTCACAGTAGTGGAGTTTTGCCACTTTGGGTTGATAGTGGAGTCCTGCCGATTCAGACTTAGGTACAATTGATGCACTCATTCACTCATTGATTCACCTAATTCACTCATGTTTTAGGTTTTGGATCATGTACTTTGGGGATATAAAGTAAAGTATTCATAATGAAGGGACTGTATTATTTTGGCACTTAGGATTGGATATTCATTAAGTACAGTATAACCTCTTGGCTTGTAGAGACTGGGGAGAGCTGAGCACATGGTTAGGACTATGCCATGTGTGTGTGTTGGAGGAGAGGAGAGGGTGTGAGCTGGCACAGTTCATGGGCTCTCAGAAGCCCTTTCAGCATAGGATAGTGGTCAGGATGGCTGGGAAACCAGCCTTGAGTCACAGCTGGTGTAAATCCGGTCCGGCTTGTGGTCATGCAGTGTTCTGGGGAGCCGTCTGTTAGCCATGGAGAGGGAACTACGAACACCAGGTCGAGGCTTGAAGTCCTTTAGGAGATACTGCTTTGTTACTGATTTTAAAGAAAGGAAATGACAACGAAGGCAAGTGTTTAAAAATAAGGAAAGTCGGGCCGGGCGTGGTGGTGCCTGTTTGTAATCACCATGAGTTGGAGGCCAGCCTGAACTACATAATTGTGACCTTGCCTCAAAAAAAACCCTAAATAAATAAATACATATTGATTAAAACATTTGTTGCCAAATTTTCTAATTATCTCTTCATGTCCATCTGATTTCATTCCTTTTTTCATAATTGCATTTCTTTTATTAATGGAAATAACTTCCTTTTTATCTTGTAATAGGCTGTTTTCTTTCTCCTCTATAGTCATGATTACCCGGGGCTCCTCCATGGAGATGACAGTCTGGCCAGAGGGAGAAGGCAGAGTATGCCCCGGGCCCCCTCATTCCTGTTGGACTAATTGGTAGGATGGGTCTGAGCTCTGGGGCCTCCGCTTCAGAGGGCAGACCGATCTCCAGTGGTCTCCTTTGCATTCAGAGCATGGACCAGGGGGCTTCTTAGGGCAGTTCCTCTTGAGGTGGCCTGGCTTTTAACAGCAGTAGCAGATGAATGTAGTTGTCGAGTTCTTCTTGGGGCCCTGAGAATCAGACTTGGGGGGTCTGTTTCTCTTAGCGCTGCAGCAAAAGCAGCTGCTATTTCTCGGTCTCTTTGTTTTCTCTCCTTGGCCTTCTTGTCACGGCTATGGAATACTGAGGAGGCAATTCTAACTAACATCTCAAGTGAGCCATCTGGGGCAACAACCATTTTTGTAGCTTTTTCTCTCCAGTCTCCCATGGCATTGGGATCCCACAACCACTTAGTGTCCTCTCCCCAACTGTGTGCAGACCTCTCCAGAGCTCCACGTGCTCCTCCACTGCAGCCTGTACTGTCGGGAAGAATGGCTTCCAGGGGGTCTCCCCAGGTATTGGGCAAGGTCCTCCTGGTTTCCAGCTCCAAATAGCTCCTGTGATCCTGGTCGACTAGACCTCTGAGTCTTTAGGCATAATCTGTATTCTCATGTTCTCTGAGTCCTTCTTCAGCAGCTGCTCCTCCGCTGACTGTGGACCTTTCTGGTTCTCAAGGGCAGGGGCAAGAGCGACCCATTGTGTGGCACGTATACCCAGGGATTTCTCCATGTTGGAATGATTCTTGCATGTACACAGGCGGTCCTCTGCAGCTAGCGTGTGGCAGGCCAGTTGTGTCATTGCTTCTCTGTGCAATAGTTCTGGAGTGCTTGGTGGTGGCCCGCCTGAGGGCCGGTGTGCACCAGTGCACCCTGCACGTGCGGCTTCCCGGGCGCAGGGTGCCCTCCTCCCGGGTGCCTGCATGGCTGGGGGCTGGCCCAAAGGCCAGCACACCCCATATGTGCAGCTTCCCGGGCGTGGGGTGCCCTCCTTCCGGGTGCCTGTGTGGCTGGGGGCCAGCCCACAGGCCAGCGCACCCCGCCACGTGGCTTCATGGGCTCTGGGGGCCCCCTCCCAGGCGCCTGCATGGCTAGGGGCTGGCCCAAAGGCTGGCCCACCCCTCTGCACAGCTTCCCGGGTGCCCGGGGGCTCCTTTTGTCTCTTGGACTCACCCTAAATTAATTTGAGGTCTTTTTTAGGTTGTTCCATAATGAAGTCCTCTGGTGATCATTTTTATTTGCTCTTAGTAAATGTTTCCTTGTGTGTTTTGGCATTTTTGTTTCTTCCCTTCCGTCTTGCAGCCTCTGCTGATCTTGTGATTGTCTCCCTCGGGAACGCCAAACCTTGGTCTGAACCTGGTATATGATCTGGTTAATGACAGGTAGAAGGACACTTGGGACATGGTTTCCCCCCACCCTCCCACTCCGGTATCACCAAGTTGCTTCATTTTGAATTTTGGTCCAAGAAGATTATCATATTCTATTCTAGTCATTTTTGTTTTAGCTTTTCATACTTTGTCCTTTTTTCTTGGACATAATTTTCTTCTAACAAGAGGTGGATTCTGTTGTTTCATCCAAGAAAACTGGACTGATACAAAATGAACACTGACACATGTATGTAGGTACCTACATTGTGTGTGGAGCAAAGATTGGCTTGTTTGTCATGAACTCAGAGTTATCATTAATATTTAAAGAGCTGCCATCAGGCCAGAGATTTAGCTCAGTGGCACAGCGCCTGCCTGGCAAGTGTGAGGTCCTGAGTTCGGTACCTGATACATCCCCAAGAAAAATTGGCTGCCATCACAGGGCGTGTCCTTTGGGAATTCTCACCTGTCGGTGCAGCCCTGTGCCAGGATCTGGGCACATGGAGGAGCCTGACAGCTGAACTCTGGCCCTTCCTGGCGTACTGTGTCCTACTGAACGTGGCAGGAGGCTGGAACAATGCTGAGCTAGGTTTTCATGTCGGGTGACTTATGTGATTTTTGTGGAGAAGCCCAGTGGAGCTTCGCCATTTCCTGTGCTTTCTGACCTGGCACTTTGGCCTCCCCTTAATCTGTCAGGCCTTTCACAGCCCTCTCATAAATCTCTTCTAAAGCAGTTAAGTGGTATATTGTGTGCTTCCACCCAAACAATGTGGCTGATAGACTCTGTGCCCTTGCAGAGGCTTGTGTGGATGCCCTATGGGCCCCTGCATGCTCCAAGGCAGTTCTTAACGACTAGGCTTACTGCTCAGCCGCCTGCCTTTTTGCCCCAGTATGCTACAAGTAACTTAGTGTTAACAGAAGTATTAAGTAGTTCAGGTTGGTGCTCATCTAATGCGGTGTGAGGATGGGTTAACCACTCAGCAGACCAGCTCAGCTAAGCCATCCCCTTGCTCTGAGTGGTGTCACTCCTTCTGTCTCAGGAACCCTCTCCTTCCCTGTGCCCTCCAGCCTCCCTGCCAGCGTCTTCCCCCTGAGCGCCAGGCCACTCTCCTGCTCTGGTGCTTCGCTTCACCATTTTTCTATGAATTCATCTCTGCAAAACCTGCTCAGTGGCCTTGGGGCCTTCTGTGAATTTCTACCCTAAGTGCAGTGCCCTTCCTTTCCCTCTAAATTCCCAGAATGGCTGGGTACTACCTGCTTCACAGCTGCTTTCCTTGTTACTTGTGTGTCTGTCCAGGACAGAAAGAATAGCTCTCTGGGCCCAGAGATGCATACCTGTCCTGCTACTCAGAAGGCTGAGACAGGACAGTTGCAAGTTTGAGTCAAGCCTGGGCAACTTAGCAAAAACCTCATCTCAAAAAATTTAAAAGGGCAAGGGATGCAGCTCAGTGTCAGAGCACTTGCCTAGCATATGTGAGGCTCTGGGTTCAGTCTCCAGTACCTCCAAAAAACCAATGAGACGTTGCTTTGATGTCATCAATACTTCCATCAGCAGGGCTGCTCAGTGGGGCTTGTCCCAGTAGTTAGGACGCACACTTGCCTTGTGTGTTTCAAGTGCTCAGTATGGCATTATGTGTGGACTGTGTGATCCATTATGGTCAGAGTCTCAGCACTTGTTTTACCTTTTCATACTTTGTCCATTTTTCCTGGACATAATTTTCTTCTAACAGGAGGCATATTCTGTTACTTCATCCGAGAAGATTGGACTGATACAAGAAGAAGACTGACACATGTAGGTGCCTACAGTGTGTGGAGCAAAGACAGAAAGAAGAAAAAGACAGAAAAAAGGTGTCCAAAAGGAGTTTAACTTCACTTCCACCCAAGAAACCTGCTCCTGAAATGTCCGGCACATAACCATCTTCTCAGCATTGCCCTCACCCAGCCATGGGCTTGCTCACCAGTCTGTGCCAATCTGCCTTCCTGCTCCTGCCAGAACATTCATGGCAGCTCTCCCCAGACTTCTTTAAAATTAGTATCCATTTGCCATACATACACATTCATTGTGGGGGGTTGGTACATGTACTATTGCATCGATCCTTTTTGTTTTTTCCCCTGTCCTCTCTTACCACTCCCTCCATCTCTAGATCCCCTTCACATCTGCAAAAGATCTATCTCCCTGTTTCCTATTTTCTTTTACTTTGCTCTTTTTTTATACTTCAGAGTTTTCATATGAGAGAAACCCCATACTTTTTTTATACTTCAGAGTTTCATATGAGAGAAACCCCAGTACTTAAGCTTGTG